GGGAGGGGAATTGCAGCGGGCGCAGCAGCTGGTGTTCGTAGGTACGGTCTCTCTCAGCCACCAGCTCAGCCAAAGAATATCACAGTTGCAATTCCAGGGATTGTGATGCAAATGTACTCGCTGCAGGTGGTGCAAAGGCGTGAAGAGATCGTGGGGCAAAAAGGTGAGGTTGTTGTGAGCCAGGTTGAGCTCTCGTAAAGAGTGCAGGTCGTCGAAGGAGTTCCGCTCTATGGTTTGGACTTGGGCGTGCATCATCCACAGCTTCTGAAGATGGATGAGACCCTTAAAAGAACTGGGCTGAATGACGGTGAGCTGGTTCCCAGACATCTCCAGCTCATCCAAACGAATCAAGGGCTGAATATTGGGGACCTCTTTGAGGTTACACATGCCCAGATTTAGGTATCGAAGGGTACTCAAGCCCTGAAATGCTCCACTGGAAATGTAGGAGAGACGCTTCAGCTCTCCCAAGTCCAACCGCCGCAGGGAGGGCAAGCGACTGAAGGCATCAGACGGTATGCTCTCAATAGGGTTATTCCTAAGCCACAGCTCTTTTAGTTTTGATAGATACTCAAATGCGCCATTTGGGATGGTCGTGAGGCGATTGTCAAAAAGCTCCAGAGTGTTAAGGCTGGTAAGCCCGTTGAAGGCGCCAATCTCTATGTTGCGGATGTGGTTTCTGCTGAGCTGAAGAATCTCAAGGTGTCGCAGATGCTTGAAACTGTCTAATTTGATGACCTGGATCTGATTGTCCTGAAGGTTTAGATACCGTGTATTGGTGGAGATGCCATCAGGGACATCCTTTAGCCCTCTGCGTGTGCAGATGACCTTACTAAACTGATTACTGCAGGAACATATGGAAGGACAGGTTTGGGCTCGTACCAATCCAGCGACAACAAGCAACTGCAGGGCTAGAAGCAGGAGAAACAAGGGGTCAAACCAAGCCCCTTTCCATCTAGGACCTCTCAACATCTGGCACTGATGGTAAGAGGTCATCTTGTTCAACATTCATAATTTAATGCCCGCTGAGTTTCTCTCCTCAAACATTTACAGGCAGTCTGAAAAAGAGGAAAGAGGAAAATAAATCTGTTAGCATAGTACGTCATGTTGAATTGTCAGCGTAGCATGATGGCAGTTAAACAGAACATCAAATTCCGCTGATGTTCTGCAATTTATCAAGAAGAACATTCTTCTGTCAAATGGAAATGCATGAAAATTCTGATATTCTGATGAAAACAAGCATTGCTGTTTAGGCAGTGCACATGCAAAATAGACTTTTTCTGATGTGATTGATGAATTGAGTATCATTACCATCACAGCTGTTAAATGAGCCTGCACATAGAAGCACACACACTACAATATAAAAAAGTGCAAGTGACTGAAAGATGCAATTTCTTGATTTCTTTTTGTTGTTGCACTGTATGTAATAGCGGACCTGAGCTTAGTCAACTAGTTCACTTTGACCTGACTATTTTTTATCCCCACTTTCAAGACTTGCAATTAACACAGTGAAAAAGATGGGGGGAAAAAAGGAAAAACTAGCCACACCCAGTAAAGAAAACGCATGTATGATGTTATTGTAATGCTTAAAAGCAAGATATTTTTTGTACAGTTGTTTAATTATAATATTACCAAGTGCCTTGAGTGTGAAATTCCCTAAACCACCCTGAATCATTTATGCTATGCACTAAAATGAGATATATGGAAATCCTGTCTCAGCAAGCTGTCAGAGGGATGGATTAAGGTGCAGACAGGTCCATCACTGGGCATATCTAGCAGATAAGGATGTGTATTTGGCTTGTATATTCAACTCTATGTGCTTGCACATGCTATGAAGATACAGAGCAACCGAATTGTCAAAACCCACAAGAAATGTGCCACTGCTACAGCACACACTAAATTAAAATCTCTTCTCCCTGCAAGTCTCTGCTCTCATTACCTGCTCAAGCGTTCTTATGAAAAATAAGATGTCTTATTTCCTATGCTGTTTGCAAATAGGTAACTATAATCAGTATTGTTATAAATAATGAGAGGGAAATAAAAGGAGAGAGGAATTCAGGAAAAATTTAATTTCTGTATATTACGAAGTGAAGCAACTGAGTATCTTGAAATACATAGAAATGCTTTCATTTATGAGATCAAGCAAGCTATGTTATAATTACTCTCAGAATCTCTTAACACAGAAATGAAATAAATATGAGACAGATAGCTTTCCAATCAGTATGGCAACAGGTGCAGTGGACTGAAGGCGCATGACACCAATAAAAACATCAACCTCAATGCATGAGTGGGCTGCATGTTGGTTGATATACAATAAATAAATGCTGCAGATGATTGTGAACTTGACTTTTGTCAGTATTAGATTAGTCTGTTGTTAGAAGCAGTCTGAATCCAGACTGAAAAATATCACATACTTTGTCAGTGATGATCAAGTTGAAATATCTCAGTCTCCTTAGAATAAAATTAATGATTCAATTAGAATTATTCATCTCTCTTGTCTGTAATATCCTATTGAAACGTCTCCGATGGTCTCACTGTGCATCTGTGCTGCTGATCATCTTATAAAATTGTTAAAAGTGAGGACTCTGATTGATTTATTCACAGTGAGACGTTAATCTTGCTAGTAGGCAATGAATGTTAGTTAGCAGCAGCGTAATTGACACCTTACTGTGAGAAGCTGAGAGAACTTCCAATGGACGTACATTTAATGGGATGCGTGAGGTAATCAGGGCATGTCCTGGCAGGAGCCTCTTTTTCATTACCAAAAATAACCATGGAATTTACAGAGGTAGCAAACTAATCTCTCAGGAATTGATTGAGTGATTAGCTCGAGGCCTGCATCAAAAATTGGAGGCACGTGAATTACTCTAGAATGTAAAACTAACATTTTTATCTCATTAATTACATAATAGTAATCCACAGATCATCCTACATGCATAAAACCTACAAGTATAAAACAGCAAGTCTAAGGCAGTAACTAAGCTTTCTGACACACACTTTTCACAATTGTCACATTTAAACTCATGTGTTTGACATATTTTAATCCAGTCTCTATCTGTCTGATTATGTAAAGGCCTCATTATACACTCAGAAATAAGATACAAAACGGTCACTGGGGACATACAGCGCCCTTTCAAATGGTACTAAGATGTACACTGTAGGTAGTAATACAGTATGTACCATTTAGGGGTAAACTATTTTTAAAGTACTAATATGTACCTTATTGAGAGTATATGTTGTTATTATTAAGATATAAATATGCTGCCGGGAAAAATTCCAAATAATTTGATGATATATGCACAATATTTTGTTTCTTTGAAAACTGCTGCCATTTCCTATAGGAATCAATACTTTTTTAAATCACAAGCAATAACAACATTTTAATGAGCATAAGCAATTTCATAAATATTCGAACGCATATACAAGGCTTGTCCTTGCTCTTTGTTGATGATGATGAATCTTGAGAGTAAAGCACAAATTTAATGCATTTTGACTGAATTTTTCCCTGCAGTACACTTTCCAAAGCCTGCATATTCCTTGAGGCCTCTTATGCCAATCAAATTAATTACTTTAGTGCTCCACAGATAAAACTTGAACACATATATGTAACACACACACACAAATTAAAAATAAAGACAAATATGAAGTTGATGTTTTGAGTAAACCAATT